TTCTATTAGGTGGGAAAACTGCAAAGGGCTCTAGATTCTGAGGTCAAATGAATTAAAGCTCAAGATTTTTTCTTGTATTTTCTAATCAAGTAATACAGATCATTTTGGAGACAAATGAGTACAAGATTGTTGGTGCTTTAAGTTTTGTCTTCCAACATAATTAAATATGGGCTCATATTTTACCTTTACAGGGGAAAATATGACATATGAATATTTCATTTGTATAAGAAGGATGAAAAACAAAGTCTACTTGCTCCAAATATAGAATCAACGAGTATTAGAATCTCTCCTTTTTTTTCCTTTGCCAGTTACTGCCAGGAATCTCATTTGAAATAATTACTACTTAATCCAGATTATTATAACAACCAATCCAAGTAGAAGTTACACTTATACAGCAATAAATGTCAGGGACCCTCTGTGAGCTATGCTGCATGACAACTTCCACCAGCAATCAATTTAGACATAGTCTATGAGGCAACTGTAGAATTAAAAATGTACTTATCTTTTGAAAATCATAGTAAACAATTATGAGATGCCACAGTCAGATGCTTGCAGTTGCATTCAAACAGAATGATTTTTCAGATGAAGGAAACTGGGAATTTAGGAGGCCTGAATTGTTTGGTGAACAAAATGTTAAAAGAAAGTAATCAAAAGTGTGGAAATGAAATTCCAGATTACATTCAGATTATGAAGGACTTTAAAAGATACATTAAATAATTTGTATGTTAGTACCAAAAGGAAATCCTAGAAGGTATCTGAGCAAGGAAGTGACAAAAAATTCGCACCAGGGTCTCCAAAGATCAAGCCTGGACCAGTATACAGAAAGTGTGGAGGAGAACAAGGTTTCCTTTCCTGAGATCAGGTAGCAGCCAATCTCAATGGCCCCAGTGAGGGAAAAGAAAAACAGTGGATACTGGAAGCAAGGTCAAGGAAGCAAATACAAAAGACACTTCCAAAAGAAAATCAAGGTGGTTTGGCAGTGACTGGCTGGGGTGGCAGTGCAGCAAGGAAGTGGAAAGGGCATCCATTCTCAAGACTGAAGAAATGAAATGAATCGGAAGGGGCAGCAGCATGGAGGTGTGGGGTTGGGAGACATTCAGCGTAATAGAGAGATCAATTTGTTTCTGGACATGTAAAACTTAAAAGAACAATGGGAAAACTAAGACATCCAGCTCCATGTTACAATTCTGGTGGTGGAGCTGGGTCAGAGATACAGTTCTGTGAATAATTTCCAAAGAGATCATTGTGGAAGCCAACAGGAGGATATATTACCAAGAAAAAAGGGTATAATAGGAAATATTTAAGTGGGTCTCAGAAGATGAGACTATCTTAATGAAGAATAAAATATTTTAAAAATGTAATTCAGGGCAAATAGCACAGAATGCATGCAAATAGATTAAACTTACTGAAAATGAGCTAATATACTATAAAAAGCTATATATCTTTTTCTAGAAGCTCACCTAATACCGAAGGTGTAGAAAAATTGGAAATAAAAAAAGAAAAAGAGAAATCAAGACAACTTTCTTTTCTCAGGAAGTATGAGCTTAAAGAAGCTGATGTAAATAATATCAGATGAACTGAAATGCAAGGCAGAGGCATTTTCAGGAATAATCAAGTTTACTGAATAATACAAAAATAACTCATTATAAAATATAGCTAGTTTAATAGGAAAAGGTCCAAAGGTGTAGTGGGTGGTGGGAGGGGAAGGGGAAAGGGAAGAAGGGAAAAGAAAATTTATGAGAAAAGAAAAAGGAAACAAAATGTATGTAAATAGGGAAGGGCGCACAGGTAATGGGGGAAAAATAAGACCCAAGATACATCATGTACAGGTACAAACACCCAATGATAAATGTAAACGTATACCCAAAGTGTACCAATAAAAGAATTTTTAAAAAATATAGCTAGTTTAAAAAGTTTATCAGCCTAATAACATAATCTCAAAATATATAAATGAAAAACTTAACAGAATTTCAAAGAGATGCATATGATTTCTTATGGCAGAAGACTTTAAATTCTTTAAAAATATGACTCAAAAATGGAATGAGAACAAAGCTTCAGTCTGCATTTGTAGAAGGGCAAAGAAAAGAGAAATGAAAGCTGAAGGGCAAGCAGAAGAGTACAGTGTCATGAAGTTTCAGGAAGGTGGAAGGTAAAGGTTGAACCCAGTGCAGAGGGAGTCCTGAAGAGGGTTACTGCTCAAAAAATGTACAGTTTTTAGGACAAGTTCATACAGGAAGTGTGAAATGATGGCATGAGTAGCCTTGTTGGAGACTCTTAGAAGGAGAAGGTTACCATTTCCTCTGGTACCGGATAGAAGAAAAAACCCCACATGGATCAAGGTTACCTCATACTGGAATGGAGGAGAAGAAAGTTGGGAGATGCTTCAACTTATGGTCCTTGGTCTTGTGTTGAGCATGAAGGGAATGGATCTTTAAGTTCAATTCATTTCTAGTTGTAATCCTAATTATATGCATTTGCAATTTAACAAGCTGACCTTAAAATTTATGTATGAGGAAAGGGCTAAAATAGTTGGCAGGCTGGAGAAAAATGAGAGTGACTTGCCCTATCATATATCAGGGCTTATAAAGCTATACTGATTAGAAAAGCAAAGATGTGTGTATATAGAATCTTGATTTATGATGGAGCTGGTACATGCAGGCCAGTTAGTCATCAATAAGAACTTCTACATCATCTCATATGTGAAAAGTCAATTCTAGATGGGTTGTAGATTTCATGTGAAAGCTTAAGCTAGGTACATTCTGGAAGAAAATATAGAATATTTTGTAATATTTGGATATGTGTTTGTTAATAAGAGATTTAAAAATTTTAATGCAGAAAAGTCTGATAAATTTAACTACATTAGATTTGAGAATTTCTGTTTATCAAAGGAAATGACAAACATCATGAAATAGCCCTATTCTGGAAGAAACTAACACTGGGTTAGCATTTAAAAATACATAACAGGAAAAAGGGGAAGAAGGTATGATTTAAAATTTGAAAAGAATGTAGAAGGCTTTACAATTGTAGGGAACAGGAGTGGCTATCAACTGAAGACAAATACAAGAATTACCTAGCATTCTAGATGAGTTAGAACCAGAGTGCTCAGGTGGGAAGTGGTACTGAGAGGCACTGGGCATATAGCAACAAGCAGTAGAGAGGCGAGCAGGCCGAGGTGAGGAAGAGTAGATACACAGACCATAGAGTGAACTCCCAAGGCACAGGGGAACAAAAACATTCAAGATACTCCCACATAGATTGCTTGGGCGTTTGATCTTGGATTATGGGATGTAGGAGTGTGCCATCCATTTGCAGATTTAATACAAACAAACCAGTGGGAAGGGGCAGTAGGGCAGTTGTATTCGGAGGGAAGAGTGGATTGTAAAGTCTTAGATTTGGGAGCAGCATCAGCTTTGAGGCAAGATGATTCCCAAGTGAGAATGAGAAGTGACAAGAAGATGGACAGCACGGGATCCCTAAGGGTCCAGCAGCTGGCAGGGAGGACTGGGTGTTGAGCATCATTAGCACAGAAGCAGGAGGTGGTGAACTAGGAGCTGCACTGCTGCTTTCCGCTGCCATGACTTGTTGGGGGCTGCACATACCATGGGGCCTGCAGGGCTGGGTCCAGCCAGTCCTCCTGCACTCCAGGATGTCAAATGCGAATTGTCTCCAGCCAGGGCTGGTGGGATTGCCAAAATGTATAATTCTAGTAAATTTTCACGGTTAGCTTTGGCCTTAGCATTGGAAAAATGCTCAGACCTCAGGAGAAAAATCCGTATTGTGGCTTGTGGAAGTTCAGGTTCAAGCAACTCACTGGAGGAAGTGTGTGAGCTAGAACATTGAGCTCAACATGTTCGAGCTGGGAGGAATGGCCCACAGGCAGTGCTGTCAGGGGTGATAGAGGCTCTCTGAGGACAGCAGTCATGACTGTAGCCTAACTGCTCACTGGCCTCTCTGTGCATGGTGGCCAGGCAGACTACTTGGGTGTCTGGATGGTGAAGGGTTGGAGGTATCCCATTCTGCTTTCCTGTCATTCCAAACCTGGAAGCTACTGGAAGGCTTCTCATAAAGGCTGTGTGGATGCTTTCTGGGAACTATGTTACTTAATCTAGTCAACTCTGTTTTAAAAAATTTCAAGTTTGCCAATTAGGTCACTAGTTGGGCTCACTAGTTGGAAATAGTTTCTGCTTGCTGAGGCTTGATGGAAATCTTCCCAGAATGGGCAATTTAGTATATTGGCTCCAAAAGACAATTTTTGAGTAAAAATACTTCCCACAGAGATTAGATACCACTGGCTTTGCATCCTAGTTCCTTGTTTACTAGTCTTGTAGAAGTTGAGGGTGATAACTGTACCTCTCTCATCCAGGTAGTTGCAAGATAACTTTTAATACATGTAAAGATTTAGCTGCCTGCCTGGTATATAGTGAGTGCTTGTTAAATGTTACTTCCTGTTATTTCATCCTAACAGAGGTTTCTTATGACACCACATTTGTAAGACAGTTGCTCTGATGTAAGAAATGTTACAGGAATCACCAAAAGGCACTTGAAAAACTGCACACATTTATATGATTTCTTAGGTACTTTCTGTTTTCCAACTGTACAGGTTAGTGTATCACCCTGGATGTACATCACTGAAGAAAACTGACACAAAGCACATCAGTGATTCACTATTCACAAGCAAAGTGAACCCCCAAATGTAAGAGAGGATCCACTAAAAGAATTTCCCAGCAGGAGACCGATTTTTTCCCTTTCATTTCATTTGGTCAAGGCAATCAGAAATATTTAGAAGAGCTCCATAAGGAAAGGATGCTAGAACCCTGCTTTACACACTGCATTAAATCCAAAGCAGAAAAAGCTGTGTCTTAGCTATTTAGAGGAGGAAACTACTGGAGCCAATGGAGCTTGAGGAGGTTTGTACACTTCCCAGGAAAAGAGACTGGTGCATGATTCAAGACAACAGATGGGAATGTGAAGGGGGTCCGGCATCCAGGGGGATAACATACCAATTCCTTCTTCTTCATGCACTCCATCAGGATGATGAACAGATGCTGGGCTTGAGTTCGGGTGTATGTGAAGGTCTTCTGTATAGTCACCAAGAGCTGGTCCCTCAGTGATTCATTTATAAGTCTGCAATGAAAGCCATGTCAAACAGGTCAACCCAGCTTCAGTCTAGTACACATTTCTTTCCTCCATTTTCAGTTGACTTTTAATTGTCACAAGTAACTGTACAGAGTTAAAGGGCCGTAGCATGGTGTTTCAATACACGACATATTGTGATATAATCAAAGGTGTTTAGCATATCCAGTACCTCATACATTTATCATTTCTTTGTGGTGGAAGTGTTCAAAATGTTCTCTTTTATCTATTTTTGAAATACTCAATACTGTATAGCGTACTTTAGCCATCCTACTGTTCAATAGAAATATTATGGAACACAAAGCATTAAGGATTTATTTTAGATAAGATAACTCTTTAAGAGTTATCTTTATCTTATCTTTAAGATAAGATAACTCTTATCTTATTTAGATAAGAGTTGCTTCTTCCTGTATTTTTTCTCACAATAGCTCTTTTCAACTGTGATAGTTTAAAAAATACACTTAACAATCCATTTAAATATCTCAGAATGTAACGAAATACAAGGATTGTTTAGTTCTTTTCTTTATCTTTTCCTTTCATTTGCCATGTGTTTAATACCCTCTTCCTTAAATGATGTTTTCAAAAAATGCCTTTAATCATTTGCATCTTGGTAAAAATTTATTATATCATTTCTCTGTAAATTGCAATTATCATTTCTATTTGGGAAAAACGGCTATATTATCAATGGTGTTTTGAGTATCAGTATGCAAGAGTAGTTGTGTTTCCTCTGAAATTCCACGTAGGTAGGTGGTTGCCTATCTGGCTTATGATTCAGATTATCACTAGGTCAAGGTTTTACTCTAGTATGGCAAACAAAAATCTGAGACTTAAGGAGGAATGATACTGGCTAATTTGTTAAAAGATAGTTTTCATACTCCAGAGGGGTAAATAAAAGCAAGCAAGATGCATTGTATCCAACAATCACAATTATGTCTTGAATATGGATCACTTGCAACTACTTTTCAATTCCTCTCTCACTACCCTGGTAAGAAAAGGTACCTACCAGCCATAAAATGGCAGGCAAGGAAAACTCAGTTTATTTTTAATAATCCTGCTTGAAATCAGGAGGCTAAAACTGCTCACAAGGGCCAGTAGGAAAATTGCCATAATTTGCCTAGTATTTTACAATTTATATATTGCTTTCATTGTGGAAGTATCAGTAACTCCTAGATAAAATAGTATTTATTACTTCATTTGATGTTTACAGAAGAATTTGTCCAATTTCACAGGGAGGGCACTTTAGCCAAAAGAAAAGCCAAATGCATAGGAGTATACAGAAAATAAACGGCACAGTCAGAATCCAAACCTAGTTCTTCTACCCTCTTGTCCAGCGCTCCTTCCTGCTGCCTTTCTTTGCCCTAAGTCACCACACCACTGCCTCTTCATTACTGTGGCTACTGGAGCAGACAGCAGTGGTATTTGTTTCAACAATAAAGCAAGACTTTATTGCTCATAAGAAAGATGGGAGATTTGAGAACGTCTTCATATTAGATGCTTTCTGTGCTCTAGGTTGTGTGGGGTTCACCTGAACCCACTAGATTGGATATTATTTTGGCCTTACTTGAAAGGGGATGGCATCCCTCATGACATTACTATGCCAACAATCCTGAAAGTCACTCAGTTGGATGGAAGACTGGGTTACTCTTCCTCCCCTCCTTCTCCAGGAAGATTTTTATCAAGAATATATACATTTATAAAAAGAGAACACCAAATCTTAAGATTATCTAAGTTATTCTGGATGACTCTGCATCCTTAGTCATGGGCCAGCCCGAAACCATTCAGTTTGTTCAATATTATTCAACTTTCAAATTATTCAACTCAATTGTTCAACTTATTCAAAAGATGCATGGTGAACATCTTAGTGGCAGACACAGTGGCATGTGCCAAGGATACAGGAATAGATGAGATATATACATTCCCAGCCATCACTGAGTCACAAGCCAGTGGAGGAGAGAGACGAGCATCAGTAGTTCTGCTGTGACTGTCAGTGGTTATGAAGTAGAGAAGCTTATGACAAACAATCTAGTTGGTTCAAGGAAGACTCCTCTGAGGAGATGCTGTTTTATCTAAGACTTGAAGAATGAATGAACATTAGGAGGGTTGGAAGTGGTGGGGTTGGGTAAAAGCAGACAAAGTGTCATGAATAGGCCTTGTTTGAAGAAGATAAAAGGAGGTGTTATGGTTTAGATCTAGAATGTTTCCACGTATTCTTTTTTTTTCTTTCCATTTAGTTTATTGGTCCATTTTAGGTACACAATACAGTTACATTCATCATTGGGATCTTGTACCTTTATGTGATGTATCTTGGTTCTTATTTTTCTCCCCTTCCTCTGCCCTCCTTTCACCCCCTCCACCCTTCCCTATGTGGAAAGACTTTGTTTCCATGTTTTTCCTTTTCTCATATTTTTTCTTTTTCCTTTTTTCCTTTCTCATGTCCCTCCCAATTCCCCTACTCCTTTAGACCTTTTCTTCCTATTATACAATGTCAATTATACATTTTTAAAATTACTATATCAAGATTTAGAGTACATTACCACAGATTTTACAGAATTTAAAAGGATATAGAAAGCATATTACAAAAATCTTTTTTGAAATAAATTTGACAACTTCTAAGAAGTACCTTGGAAGACAAATTAATGAAACTGACTCTGGAGGAAATATAAAATTTGAATAGCACCTATTGAAGAAAGTATATTCCTAGCTTGAAAACCTACCTACATGACAACAACAGCCTCATATACATTTTAACTGATGAATTATATCAAACATTTAAAGCAGAAAAGAAGAAACACTTCTGCCCTCATTTTAGGAAATCAGCATTGTGCTAATCCTAAAACTGGATAAAGACAATAGAAGAAAAAAGCACAAACATAGGTAAAAATTTGTTTAACAAACCAAACTCTTAGAAGTCAGATCTGGCAGTATATAGAAAGTGGTTTTATTATAGGGATGGCAGTGTTGGTTCAGCATTGGAAGATCCACCCCTATAAGTAACATTTTAACAGAGGAAAGGAAACAGCCATATGATTCTGTCAGTAGTTGCAGAAAAAGTATTGGACTAAATTCTACAGCTGTTCATGGTAAAACCTATCAGGAGACTAGCAGTAGAACAGAGCCTTATCAACAGATAAGCCATATACTCCATACTTCGAGCAAAAATGCCTTATATGAATGGAAAAGATACAATGCTTTCTCCCTAAAGTGGAGAACAAGGGCAGATATGCCTAATCTTCATCTGTCCATTAAACTTTGGAACATAGGCCCAAACCAAAATAGTCTGGCAATAAAAAGAAGCAATTAGCATACAATTGGCAAGGTAGAAGTAAGATCTTTATATGTAGATGAAATGATCATCTACAGAGAAAATGCTAAGAAATCTCTAGGAGCACCTAGAACTTGTATTTGAATTTAACAGGATTAGAAAACACAAGGTATGTATAAAAATTCATATTATGCATGAATTATTTATTTATGTATACTTGCTGTATAAATGAACAATTGGAAATTTAAAAATTATAAAGGAGTACAAAGGACCTAGAAAAGTAAAAAGAAAAAAAAAAGTGTTGGAAGAATTTATTACCTAATTTTAAGACTTTCTCTAAAGCTGCAATAATCAAGGCAGTGTTGGCATAAGAAAAGACATATAGATCAATGGAATAAAACAGAATCTAGAAATAGAACCACACATATATGATTCACTGAGTTTTGAAAGATTATTTAACATTAACATTTTATAGAACATAAACTCAATTCAAAAGCAGAGGAAAACAGTGTTTTCAGCAAATGGTCCTAGAACACCTGGTATCCGTATATAAAAAATTAACCTCAACCCTTTATTTCCATACATAAAAATAACTTGAAAGGATCTATGAACCTAAATATGAAGGACTAAAACTATAAAACTTTAAGAAGAAATTATAAGGACGAGGAATTTAGGTAGGCAAGAATTTCCTAGGATACACAAAACATGATGTATAAAAGAAAGAAATTGGTAAATGAGATTCCATCAAAATTTAGAACTTTAAATGACACCATTAAAATGAAAAGTAGTCCTTAAACAGACCATATATACAATGTATATAATCTATGACCAGAATATATAAAGAACTCTTACAGCTCATTAATAGACAACCCAATTAAAAAGTAGACCTAAGAAGATGATAAATAGCCAGTACAGATATGTATTGACTTATCATTGTCATGACTTTTTCTTTTTGTTGGATTCTCCCCCTTTGTGTTTAATTTCTTGTTGCACCTAACAGATTAATTCTGCTGGGCTTTCTGGGGTTGTGATCCTCATCTTTTCCTAGGATATTGCCTAAAATTTTTTGGAGTGCTGGTTTGGTATTCATGAAGTTCCTAAGGTGCTCTTTGTCATGAAAGTATCATATTTCACCATCAATTTTGAAAGATAGTTTTGCAGGGTACATCAATCTGGGTTGGAGGCTGTTTGCCTTTAGGGCTTGAAATTCGTAACTCCAAGCTCTTCTAGCCTTGACCGTTTGTGTTGAGAAGTCTGCTGTGATTCTGATGGGCTTTCCTTTGTATGTGATTTGTTTCTTTTCTCTCACTGCTTGTAGAATTTTGTTCTTCTGCTGAGTTTCTGGAATCTCAACTATTATATGCCTATGTATAAATTTTTTTTAATCAATGCTAGTTGGAGTCCTATATGCCTCCCTTATCTGAATGTCAAGTTCTTTTCCCTTGCTTGGGAAGTTTTCTGCCATCACTTCCATGAACAGTTTTTCTTTTATGTCATCTCTCTCTCCTGTTTCTTTATTGACTCTGATCAGTCTTATGGTACTCTTCTTTGCGTCATCTAGCAGCTGCGGATTGATTTCTCATGGTCCCTTACTATTTTAAAGCGATTTTTCTTTTCCTAGTCACTAATTGCAATCTTATCTTCTGTGTCTGAAATTCTGTCCTCACATTGGCTCATTCTTCTGTGTAAGCTTTCAATGGAGTTTTTAATCTCCTGGAAATCTGTTTGT